TGCTAGCCCCCCTCCCCACCTCTGACCAGAAAGAGTACTGCACAGTGTCAGGATTTAAAATGAAACCTTTGTTATAGCCCATGGGGAAAAATGGATCTAGTCCAGCCCCAAACATATCACTCTCTGCCATTCCACATCTTCCAAGAGTTTTAACGGCTCTGACATTTTTTAGAGGGAAAAAAAAAAAGAGTTTTGTTTTGTTTTGGAGGGGTGGGTACTTGAAATGGCATGTGGAGAAAAAAAGCAAATGCATGGCATCTTTTGTGCCAATGAAAATGAGGACAGCTCAGCAGAGAGGAGAACTGGAATGTAAACTGTAATTGACCCATAACTGTGGCACGACTTCTGGGCACCAGGGGGTCAGTAATAGGAGTTGCCATCCAAGAGCAAGGAGCGAAGATTGCCAAGATTCCAGAAAACCTGGAGTTTTGTAATCTGGGGAGTGCGCTGCTCAATCGGGAAGGGCCCGGATGGGTGAAGCTAGAAGCACCTTCCTCTAGAACTTGAGACTGGTTTCTATCTTTTGAGAAGGATTACCTTCCTTGTGGCTTTTCAGAAGCTATTAATCCAACCTGGAGCTTTTCCCCAACCCCACAAGTATGCCACAAGCAGCTTGTTTATTTGGGGTCTGGGGGACATGGTAAAAAATACTTTGGTGACCACGAATTGTTCGGCATAGCCCTAAGGCCTACGTGCCTGATTACTCTCTCAAGCACCAAGCTTGAACTTGCTTTTTCTTTCTGAAGACTTCAGCTGTGGTTTGTTTCTGTTGCCAAAGAAGCTCCAGGCATGCACCGCTGTTTGGGATCCAGTGGCCACAGTTGGCAAGGAGTGATTTGAATGACCTCTCCTTAGGAGCCCTAGGTCACTGGCTAGATTTCTGCCTCCCTGCGTTACAGCCTCTTCCTGTATTGGGAGTGGCACTTGGCCAGGGCATTATATTTCCACTGGCCTGAAAACATACAGACCCCGATGAACAGAGGCTTGTGAGAGGGAGGACGACGGCAACACAGGAAGAACTGAGACAGATGACAGGGGGCCTCTAGGTCTAGGCATTCTTCAAGGGGAAATTTGGGATCCTCAGGTGGAACAGTCAGTATGATAGTACCTCAGAAGACAACAGCAGAACTATGTCTGGTTACCTGAAGTAAACCGTTGAGTAAAAAATCTTTAGGCTGGGCGCAGTGGCTCATGCCTGTAATCCGAGCACTTTGGGAGGCCGAGGCAGGTGGGTCACTTGAGGTCAGGAGTTCGAGACCAGCCTGGCCTACATGGTGAAACCCCCGTCTCTACTAAAAATAGAAACATTAGCCGGGCATGGTGGCACACACCTGTAGTCACAGCCCCTCAGGAGGCTGAGGCAGGAGAATTGCTTGAACCTGGGAGGCAGAGGTTGCAGTGAGCCGAGATTGGGTGAAAAGAGCGAAACTGTCTGAAAAAAAGAAAAAAAAAATTTCTTTTTTAAGATTCATGTTACTCTTTTAATTGAATTCAGTTTCATACCAGAGAGTTTAGGGACTGTGAAGGTTTTAGGAAATTTGTTGAGTATTTAGAAAAGCTGATGGTTTCAGAGAGAAACTTTGATATCAGCTTGAATGCAGTTATTGCCAGGGGTGAGGAAATAGCATACCAAAGCATAATCACTCATAGTGATTTATCCAAAACTTGAGTTGTTTCCATCTCTGAACCCTGAAAACTCCTTTATCTTGAATTTGTTCAAAATTACAGGATTCCGGGAAGGTTTGTGAAAATAGCACAGAAAGGTCCTAGGCAGTAGTTGTCTGGTGTGTGTGTGTGTGTGTGTGTGTGTGTGTGTGTGTGTGAGTGAGAGAGAGAGGGAGAAAAAGACTGAAAGAGAGCATTGCCTCACCGATGGGTTTGCTGTATCTGCAGGATGGAGACATTCCCTGCAGTGGCTGAAAAGGTCCTCAGGGAGTTCCAGGTGTTACTGCAGCACAGCCCCTCTCCCCTTGGAAGTACCCGCATGCTGCAGCTTATGACCATCAATATGTTTGCGGTCCACAACTCCCAGCTGAAAGGTAAGGAATGTTTAGTTTCTTCATCTAGAATATAGACAGATAGAGATTAATGTAGCTTCTTTCTACCATACCTACCTCCCCCCACCCCACCCCAGAACACACACACCCTCCCCTTCCTACCATTGTCTCAGATACTGAGTTTACTTTGAAATCTATATGACTCTCCAGTGCTTGGGTGGGATGGAAGGAGGGAATCATGGGTATAGAGCTTAGTTTGCAAATGCAGAGATGCTGTTGCACATCTGGCCGCACGAAAGGCAGCAGCAAGGCCTCTTGAAGGCTGCAGACCCAGAGCCTCTCCCAAGGGAGAGGCATTGCTGAGATATTTCATTGCAGAGACCATACGCTTGGCAGGGATTGGGAATAGCTGTTTCTGGACTCATGTACCCTGTTTGTTCAATATGGAAAAGTCTAGTTCCCTATGGGATATCCCTAGTGGGAGCCTGCCAGGGAGTAAGAACCAAAAATTGATGAGCTTTGGTGATTCAAATCTGGAAGCACAAAAACCACCAGGCCCAGAATTTGGCTGGTATACCAGTGTGCATTCTGAAATGTTTTTCTGAACGTGTTGGGGTTTTTTTCATAGGGGGTCGGGTGGGTGTGGAAGTAGAGGGGAGAAGGGCAGATTGGCAGGGTTTTAAATGCTTTGATGACCAGGTCAGGGTCAAAGGATGTTACCAGGATTTCTTCCCTTCCCTTCCGTTCCCTTCGTTTCACTTAGGTAAGGATGATATGGTATGACTTGATGGAATTATGTAGCACAGGGATGGCATTATTTTCTGTGTTTATTTGCAAGGGTGATTTGGTCCATGCTGGCAAGGAATCATTTCAGAACAGTGACAGAGAGCGTTTGGTCTCAGGGCAAGAAATGCCAGGAAGTGGGAATTGGCCCATAGAGACCCTGCTGTAAAACAGACCTGGTGTTTCTTGACAGAGTGCCGCTGGGTCTCTTGTTGCCCCTTTTCATAGCACTTTCTCTCACCATGAAGTCGGTTTATTTATCTCCCTGTTTGTACTTACGGGTTATGCTTCACTTGCTTGTGGTGGGGGAGTGAGTATGCCACACTTTGCCTTGAAATGGAAATGTGGGTCTTTCTGGGACTAGGCAAGGTCCTCTCAGAGTGTGTCTGGGTTCTCAGTCACTTCTGAATCCTAGAGGATTTCCTCATCTCGTGCTGCCTGCTACAGCGTTTACAATTTCCAGCAGAAAGCAAGATCGGGGACTTAGATGCCTTTTTGAACTTGGCTAATTTTTCCTGAGATGGCTATTTGGGTAAATGGCCCTGAGGAAGCATTGGGTCCTAAGTGACAGCACTGGTTTTCAGGGAGAAGAGAAGAAAATTTGTAAAGTGCTGTGCTGGTGAGGCCCAAAGGGGAGGGACAGTCTGCACCAAGTAGGAAGCCCACTTGACTCTGAAAATGGGCCCTGAGGTGCCCTCCCGTTCATCTTCCTCCCCAGGTCCCCTCCCGTTCACCTTCCTCCCGAGGTGTCCTCCTGTTCATCTTCCTCCTGAAGTGTCCTCCTGTTCATCTTTCTCCCGAGGTGTCCTCCTGTTCATCTTCCTCCCGAGGTGCCCTCCTTTTGATCTTCCTCCCAAGGTGCCCTCCTTTTCATCTTCCTCCCGAGGTGCCCTCCTGTTCTCCTTCCTCCCGAGGTGCCCTCTTGTTTATCTTCCTCCTGAGGTGCTCTGTTCATCTTCCCATCTCCACTAAAAACAACCCACAGAGTTCAGTGAGCTGCCTGTCTCAGAGCTGTAGCCTCAGCCAAGACATTGTTCCTGCACCAAATGACCTGTGGCTTCTTTAGGTGTGAATGTGAAGGACCTGCAGCCCTTGCCCATGAAGCATCTGTTTTCAGCAGCTTCTATTCCGTGGAAAGGAATACCTTGGCCTTTTAATAGGCCATCAGTGAGTCTTTTTCTTGTAGCTGTTGTTAAGAAAAGGTTAAGAAAATAAGGGTAGGTCGAGTGCGGTGGCTTACGCCTGTAATCCCAGCGCTTTTGGAGGCCAAGGCGGGCATATCACCTGAGGTCAGGAGTTTGAGACCAGCCTGGCCAACATGACGAAACCCTATCTATACTAAAAATACCAAAAATTAGCTGGGCTTGGTGGTGGGGACCTGTAATCCCAGCTTCTCAGGAGGCTGAGGCAGGAGAATTGCTTGAACTTGGGAGACGGAGGTTGTAGTGAACGGAGATTGCAAACTATACTGCAGCCTGGGCAGGCAGAGCAAGGCTCCATCTCGAAAATAATAGTAATAATAATTAAGAATTAAAAATTAAAAAAAAAAAAAAGAAAATATGGGTAAAAGGAAGGTAAGATGGTGAGTACAGAGAAAAATTGGTTGTTCCCTGATTTGAGGCCAAGGTACTTTTTCTAGGACTCTTCCATGGTGGGTCATAATGAGCACCCTCTAGCCAGGAGAGACATGTACAAATAAAGCCCGTACTTGAGACCCTACTCTTCAAAACTGGTCTGCTCCTGACTCTCACCTCATTGTTACCTCGATAAGGTAATCGGGGCCAAGAAGAGTATGAGTTGAGGTGGTCAGAGGCTCCAAGGGTATTTCAAGGAAAAACGGCCCAGGCCACAGGATATAACACTCAGTGAGGACAGAGAGCTCTGTGGACGTGTTGCCAACTACCCGGTGTGCAGCTGAGGCGGCCATCCAGACCCCACTGTGTGGGCTGCCATTGGGAGAGGGGCGAGCAGAGTCTAGACCCCACTGTGTGGGCTGCCATTGGGACAGGGGCAAGCGGAGTGCTCAGCAGGGCTGGCTGGTGGGAAGATGCACTTTTCCATTTCCCAGCACATGAGTCATCATCCTTGGTCCCCTGTGCTGTGCTTGCCTGGACAGTGGCAATAAGGGGGTGTTGTGGCTGAGTAGCAGCATCTGTGCTGGGGGTGGAGAAGGAAGGGGGTTGGGGAGAGGGTAAAGATTTAAATCCTTCACTAATCAGCAGCAGTTTGAATCACATTTTTATGAGTAAGGAAGTGATAAATCAGCCCTGCGTGTTCAACCCCCAAGTCCCATCAGCCAGTGCCCTTCTAAAGGTTTCTCCCCTGGCCAGTCTGCATGCTGTCAGAGTTGCCACCCACCCTCAGGGCCCTGGCTGTCTGAAACCAGGAAGCAAGAGCCTGATGCTGCCTTGCCCTCCCAGGTGCTGGGGTCTGTGGTGAATTGGCAGTCACTGCAAGCTACAGAACATCTGGGCCATCATTTTTCTTTCCGTTCCTTCTCGGACATGTCCTTCTGGGTGGGTGTTCGCACATGTCAGTTTCTGGACTCTGTGGAGGAGGAGCATTCCAGCCTGAAGCAGAAGTGATCTTGTGGCCCACCAGGCAGCTGAGATCCTCGCAGTCTCTCCCTGAGTCTTCCCTGTAGATGTGGTGCCTAAGGAGTATGATTTGGAGAGCCACAGGGAGCAGATTCCTTTCTTTAAAAGTGTGTCCCTTGCTGATGCCTCTAATGCTGTCGTGAATCATTTGTTTTTGTGTGTTCAGCGCCACCCTTGTATAACTGTCTTCTTTTCACAATATCAGTAATCCAGGATGGAAATCATATTGTTGCTAACATTTTACTGTGATTACTTTTCAAGTGTGTAGAAAAGCTTTGGACACTGCAGAAGGCAAAATGAAAGGAAAAGTTTCAGTGGTGGTGAGAGAATGGCATCTTTGCCTTTCCCTAGGTTATGGTTTTCCCAGGAGCCCACTCTGCTCTTGGGCGCAGAGGATGTGAGGCCAGATTTGCCCCCCTTCCTACAGGGCGAAATAAGTTGAGTAATGCCACATGATTTAGCCAACTAAACTTTCCAGTTACAGCAGTGGTCTTAAAACTCCTGGGTTCACGGGTGTTGGTGGAGAGACCGTGATCTGCTCTCGGATGGGCCCTATGCAGAGTCCTACGTCAGTGGATACGGAATTCTAGAATCCTCATACTGCACACTCAGGTAGTTGGGGATAGATAAATTTGAGGGATGGGACAAGGGACATTTGAGGGCCTTGGCTTAGGGCTTGGTATTTATTCGGCATTCAGTAAGCATTTGCTGAGTGCATGGGTGAGGAAGGCAACAGTTCTGGGAAAGCCAGCTCTCACTGAGCAGTGTGTTCCTTACCTGGCCCAGGTCCAAAGCTGATGGTGAGATAGGTGGTTCCCAGAGTGATGTCATGACTGGTAATCTCTCTAAGGCATTCCTGAGCCTGAAGGGAGGAAGGGCTTTCTCCACGTGCCTCAGTGTTTAACACTTCGGTAGTCATCTAATTGGTTGACGTGATGCCGGAGGGTGACCTATTGATCTAAACCACAAGTACGCCAAGAATTTTAATTTTTTAAAAATTTTGTAATTTAAGGAAATAAAACTCTAGTTTCTCGAAGGGAAGAATTGAAGCAGCATTGTTGTAGGGGAGCACTGAAACCCCCTTGCATCCCCCATCTGTGCCCAATTTGCTCCAATCTGGCCTTTTTTTTGTTCTTCCTTCATTTTCTCTCCCCCCCTCTTGTTCTCTCTTTTTCAAAAATGTTTTATAATTCCTGGAATCAAAACCATCTCAGGCACACACTGTTTTATTTTACTGTATTATTGGATTATACCGCCTATAAATCACTGGATGTTACTCATTGGCCACCACTGGAATAACTTCCCTTTTCTGTGCCCTGGCTCCCTCTTTTTCCCTCTACCAGTTTCGTAGCACATACATCCATTTCAGCTTTGCAGAGAAGCCCCGGTGGCAGCAAGAGGGCACCCAAGAGACACTTCTTGCATGTGCTGTTGGTGTTGCCTGCTTTTAGGGGATATTTGGGAGCTGGGATTGAGGTAGAGCCTGACTTGCATTCCTTTCATTATCATTTATGCTTGCTTTTTTTGGGCGGGGGGAGGGAGGGACAGCGTCTCGTTCTGTCGCCCAGGCTGGAGTATAGTGGTACAATCTCGGCTCACTGCAACCTCTGCCTCCCGGTTCAGGCAATTCTCCTGCCCTAGCCTCCTGAGTAGCTGGAATCACAGGCGCCCACCACCACACCTGGCTAAGTTTTCTATTTTTAGTAGAGACGGGGTTTCACCACGTTGGCCAGGCTGGTCTCAAATTCCTGACTTCATGATCCGCCTGCCTCAGCCTCCCAAAGTACTGGGATTACAGGCATGAGCCACCGCGCCCAGCCTTATGCTTGCTTTGAATGGTGTTAGTAATCCTGAATTACAGGAGGTAGAGGGAGTGTCACATGTGGGTCTCTAGAGGGACAGAGAGCTAGCTAGCTACAGCTGTCTGTATAGGACTGATAGCTTTAACTTGTAGGTGTGGGGTGTTTCATGCCTCTGTTGTGACGGGAGGTGACTCTAGTTGAGTTTGGTTTGCAGCCGAAATGTCCTTGTCTTCCAGCATACAGCCCATCTTAGAGACCTTCAGAAAAGCAGTTTGCTCCTCTGTGGTGATTCACTTCTGTCGTGAGTCTCTTACCCAAGCCGAATGTATGAAGTGCCTAATCCTCCGCTTGTCAGAACAGTTGTACAGGAAATCCACCTTTCATAAGAGGTTAGGCTTGAGTTAGCTGTGTAAACTGTCCCCCTCAGTCCTCCTCCTGTATCTTTGGTGGTGGAAACCCTTGGGCTTTTTCTCTACAAGGATCTGTGGGTAGATTTCCGTAGGTACTCAGTGCTACCTGACCTTCATTTTCAGGATGCCTCAGTTTAGAGAAAATGAACAGAGCCAGCTTGCGCAAGGAATTTTGTGAGAAGTAGATTCAAAAGTCAGAATAGGTTAGGCTTTGGAAGGCAGGCCAGGGCAGGATGCATGCTTTAGCTCTGCCCTCTTTCCCTGCGGGGAGATAGAACTCTCAACAGGCCGCTTAGTGTAGACTGCTCTCGGCACCTTGGCCTATGGATCTGCCTGTAGTTCCCTGAAAAAGAAGTTAAAGAAGTGAGTATGTCAAGGGACCTACTTGTCTTTCTGCCTCTGGGTTCCAGGGTCCTTGTTTTCAGAATGTATTTAGGCTAGGGAAGGAGAAATAGGAAAAGCCAAAGAAATGAGAAGATTGTCCTCTCAATAAAATTAAGCCTCTTATCATATCAGTTGAAGAAATGGTCTTTGTTTTGCCCCAAGATAGCAATGTGGTTTGGTGTCCATGGCTGCTTTGCTGTGGAGTGCAGAAATGCAATATCCCATGTTGCCCAGATTTCGTTTCTTTTGCCATTTTATAGCTTCTCAATTTGATTGTTTGTGGTTTTACTTTTTTTTTTTTTTTTTGGCCCCGACATGGACTTATTCTGAAGGAGAAACATTATTTGGGGGAATTTTGGCAGCAGGACACTTTTCTTTCTTTCTTTTTTTTTTTTTTTGTTTTTTTTGTTTGTTTGTTTTTCTGAGATGGAGTATTGCTCTGTGGCCCAGGCTGGAGTACAGTGGCACAATCTCAGCTCACTGCAACCTCTGCCTCCTGGGTTCAAGCGATTCTCATGCCTCAGCCTCCCGAGTAGCTGGGATTACAGGCACAGGCCACCACACCCGGCTAATTTTTATATTTTTAGTAGAGACAGGGTTTCGCCACGTAGGCCAGGCTGGTCTCGAACTCTTCACCTCAAGTGATCTGCCTGCCTCAGCCTCCCAAAGTGTTGGGATTACAGGCATGAGCCACTGTGCTTAGCCTGGCAGCAGGACTTTCAGCTACCTTTTCAGAGCTCTATGTTTTCTAAATGTATAGCTTGGGTGTGGGTGTGGGACTCAGACCAGATACATACTGTGTGCTGAATTCACAGAGAAAGTAGGTATGTTCTAGGGGGATGGTGAGGGGCGGGAAGTGTTGAACTTTGGACCCTAACCAAGTAAATGCCTATCTGAGGAAGAATTGTGGTTTTTACAGGGTGTGACCAGTAATGACAGCCACAGCAATGACTGGTGCTAATACATGATGACACTTTATAGTTCCTGCATATGTATTTTCCTTTGATTCTCTTGTCAGCCCTGTGTGACAGACTGGACAGAAATTTTGTGTCCCATTTCATAGATGAGGAAAAACGTATCAGAAAGGTTAAGCAGGGTTGCACAGCTAGTAAATTATACACAGGTGTCAGTTGTCCACCCTTTAATATCAGAAAACAGGAAAAGCTTCTCTGGGCAGCTAGACAGTGCAAGGAATTCCCCCCAAATCCGAGCAGTCTTTTGTTCTCTGATGAAGAAAGTGACCTGTGAATCTGATCTGAGACAGGAAGAGGAACAGGAGTAAAGGTATGAGAGTTGGGGTAAGTCAGAATTCTCCCAAGTGGCGTGAGACTCGGTAGGGCTACAACAAACAAGCTAGCAGAAGGTTGTTGTTTGGGCAACTCGGGGCTGTCTGGCGTCCGTGTCCACTATTGTCATGAGTAGAGGAAGCCTCCCTCTCAAATGGAAAGCATAGTCCATGACTAGTTGGTGGAAGTGTTTATTCTTTCTCTTGGTTTAGAATATATAGTGTCTCTTAAAAAGGGGGTGGGCGGATTTTTTTAAGGAACATTGTTTCATATTTTCACCATCGTGTCTAGTATCCCTCTTGTTTTAGAAAAGAGGCCTTTTACATGCTGTTCTTAGAAGAGATTGTGCTGCTTTTTGTGGCCTGGGGAGAAGGTAGATATGTCATTGATACAGAAAATAGTGTGAGAGTATAAAACATCTGAAAGAAGGATAAAGTAAATGCACATATAACTACCACCCAGGTTAAGAAATAGAATATTGTCAGTCACTCAGATGTTCCTGTATACTTCATCTCTGTATAGCTGTAGTTACCTCCCCAACAGGTAACTGTCATCCTGACCTGCGAATTCATTTCTTTGCTTTTCTTTGTAGTGTTATCAACTATTATGTATATGTGTGTATGTGTATATATATATGAAATATAATTTTGGGCCAGGCACGGTGACTCGCGCCTGTAATCCCAGCACTTTGGGAGGCCGAGGCGGGCAGATCACTTGAGGCCAGGAGTTCAAGACCAGCCTGGTCAGCATGGGGAAACCTTGTCTCCACTAAAAATACAAAAATTAGTCTGGATGTGGTGGCTCACGCCTGTAATCCCAGCACTTTGGGAGGCCGAGGCGGGTGGATCACGAGGTCAGGAGTTCTAGACCAACCTGGCCAAGATAGTGAAACCCCATCTCTACTAAAAATACAAAAATTAGCTCTACATCGTGGTAGGCGCCTGTAATCCCAGCTACTTAGGAGGCTGAGGCAGGAGAATTGCTTGAACCTGGGGGGCGGAGGTTGCAGTGAGCCGAGATCGTGCCACTGCACTCCAGCCTGGGCAACAGAGTGAGACTCCATCTCAAAAAAAAAAAGTTAGCTGGGCACGGTGGCACACGCCTGTAATCCCAGCTACTCAAGAGGCTGAATTGAAGCACAAGAACTGCTTGAACCCAGGAGGTGGAGGTTACAGTGAGCCAAGATCACCCCACTGCACTCCAGCCTGGGTGACAGAGCAAGACTTTGTCTCAAAAAAGTCAAAGTAAAACGAAACACATAATTTTGCTTTGCTTGCATATAGATGGAATCATGCTAATCATACTATTTATATTATTTTCTCCCTGGTTTGTTTTGTTCCATATGTTTGCGAGTTCTGTCCATGTTCACATGTGTAGCTGTAGTTCATTCATTTTCATTGCGGTAATCCTACATTTTAGTCACATTAGTTTATCCATTCTTCTGTTGATGGGCATTTCAGTTGTTTTCTCTTTGGGACTATTAAAAGCATTGAGTCTGTTGATGGTTACTGCAGTTATTGGTACATTGGGAGTTATATACATCTTCCTATATTTTAAAATGAATTTTATTGAAGTAAAGTTTACATACAATAAAGCACACCCATTTTAAGCATGCACTTCAGCCAGTTTGACAAATTTACATGCCCAAGTAACTAATCATCACAATCAAGATAGAGAATATTTCCATTATCCCAGAAGTTCTCTTTGTGCCCATCCCAGTTGATCTCCATCCCACCCCTTGCCCTAGGCGACTGCTTATCTGTTTTCTGTCATTCTGTGTTAGATTTGTCTTTTCTAGAGTTTCATGTAAATGGAATCCTAAGAGTCTGTATTCTTTGTGTCTAATGTCTGACGACTTTAGCCTCAGCATAATAATTTTTAGATTTATTCATGTTGTTACATGTATCAGTATTTCATTCCCTTGTATTACTGAGGAGTCTGGATATTCTGTAGTTTTGTTTATCTAGTTACCTGTTGATAAACATTTGGGTTGTTTCTGGTTTTTGGCTATTATGAACAAAGCTGCCATGAGCATTTATATCCAAGTATTTTGTGGACATGTTTTCATTTCTTTTGTCTAAGTACCTAGGAGTGGATTTACCGGAGCATATGGCATGTGTATCTGACTCTGTAGGAAATGGTAAACTGTTTTCTGTGGTGGTGGGACCATTTTATATTCCCTCCAGCAGTGAGAGTTCTACTTTCTTTATTTTCTTGTCAGCATTTGGTATTGTCATTTCTTTTTATTTTAGCTATTCTAGTGAATGTGCAATGCTATTTCATTTTGGTTTGTATTTCTCTAATAACTAAGATTGAGAGACTTTTCATGTGTTTATTTGCCATTTGTGTATCTTCTTTGTGTTTAGATCTCTTGCCCACTGCACTGCACCTCCGCCTCCTGGATTTAAGCGATTCTGCTGCCTCAGCCTCCTGAGTAACTGGTACAATAGGTGCTCGCCACCACGCCTGGCTGATTTTTGTATTTTTAGTAGATACAGAGTTTCTCCATGTTGGCAAGACTGGTCTCAAACCCCTGACCTCAGGTGGTCCCCTCGCTCTTCCTGGCTCTCCCAAATGGTGCTGGTGATTTTTATCAGTGTGGAGGTCCCTCTAGCCCATCTTGTTTTTTTTTTTTTGAGACGGTTAATCTGCCTGTTGTCTCTGTGCTGGAGTGTTGTTCTAATGGCTGTATCTTGCTATCGCACCT